TTGCTTTAAAGCCAGCCTTCTGATAGCTGGGATAGAACTTTCACAAGGGCCAGTATGACGTGGAGAACAATTGCATGGGGAGGCTAATGGGACTTGCGTTACTAAGTTGGGTGTGCCATGAGAAATCTACCCGTACAAGATGAGAACAGGTTTAAAGAGTTTAAAGATTATTGATGGTTGTACAGAAATTGCCACTTTTACATCACAGTATTTTGAAATGGGGGATCTCCCCCAAGAGACCCCATCTTGCAGGCTGTAGACATTTTAGCAGTGACTTGTGGGTCATCCCTTTCAGGAATATATGGAGAACAGGGAATCTGAACAGAGACTCATGAAAAGGAAGAACCTTCCTGCATGCTGTGGTATTATTGCTGAAAATTTGCCTTTGCCCATATTTTTGTCTAAGCACTGAATAATAATCAGCATGGTTAAGGCAGGATTTCAATGAAAAGCACAGAATTTTGGAGAGACATGCAGTCCTCTAAGCTACATAGCACAATAAAAGCAAAAAGCAGTGACTGTCCTCATACACTTGAAAATACGCGAGAGCTGCAAGACAAACTCCAGGCACTAAAACTTTTTTCTATAAGAATTCAGAAAAAAATGCACAAACTGCATCCAAGTGTAGGCTAACATTCCCCAGTTAGTTTCTCTTTGTGTCTGTTAGGATTAAGAATTCATTTTATGAAGCGTAATATCTCCCAGAGACACACTAAGGTTTTTAGATAACATCAACATATTCTGATTTGGAGTTGCTCGTTATATTTCATCTCTTTTACTTAAGTACTCAGGAGTTATTTTGGCATGCTACTTCCAAGTGACTGAATATTAAATAATATGTTATCATGTAAAATAGCTTGCAAGAAATTACAATTGATGCAAATAGTCTCCAACTTATTTTATGATTCTTACAAAAAACACCTTAAAAATTCTTTCTAGTTCTATAGAGGATTTGTTTTTCCCCTTTCATCCTGGAAATTGATATTATTTATTTGTTCTCCAAAGAAAGCAAACTTTTAATAGAAGATAATAGTTTTGTATATGAAAGCTGTAGTACATCTGAGCCATTTCAGATGTTGATTTATCTTGGGGAATAAATAATAAAAATCTGTTGTGAATTGCTAGAGAAAGAAAATCCTTTAGACAACTCTATATTGGTTTTGTAGTAAATAGTCAAAACCTAAAGCAAATCTGAAAGTACAAATACTGTCTTCTTTAGGAGGTAGTTTTACATTAAAATTTTATACATTTTTAAGTTGTTATTTTCACTCAAACTAGAATACAGACATCTATCTTTCTCCAAGTGCACCTACAGCAGCAAGCTGGCCAGCCACAGAATAATTACACCAAAGCCAACTGAAATAATCTTTAATGCCATCAAAACCAGGACTCTCTGCTACTGTGTAATAAATGTCAGTGTATTATCTCAGAATGACACCTAAAGTTTTGATTAATAGATATAATTAGAATAATTCTCCTGATGGAGAGTATGTGCACTAACAGCCTGTGCCAAAAGCGTACAGATCTGTGGGAACTTGTAGGTGCCTGTGTTTGGCTTTTAGTAAATAAAATATATTGCATGGCAAAGTATTGGCAGGAAAAGGAAGAAAACCAATGAAAAATTAGCTGCTCAATCAGTTTCCAGTGATGTTATTTAAAGCTATGTATTCACTACTTCATTCCACTTTTGTCAGAGTGACACCATCCTGTTGGAGGATGCAACTGAAATACAACAGGTACTGTTGTGGTAATTAGGCATCACATATTCAGGGTAATCATTATATCACTATGTGGGCATCTACTACTTTAAAACATTTTCTTCTATCATATTTAAAGACAGCAGAAGTAACTTTGAAGTTCAATTGTTACTTGACCTGTAGCAACAGAAACCCATGCCTGACATAAAAATTATTTCCAATTGTTTCACTTTCTGGACTGTGTGCCTAACATTATGAGTTCAGCATTGCATTGGTATTCCAGGATTCTTACATGACAGAAGCACTAAGGGTCTGTTTCAAGTATAAGGTAATCCACGTCAAGTGCCCTTGACATGGAATTGTACAATTAGGAAGTCAATATAACTTAGTGGAAGTCAAGATACTGACTTTTAGACAAGTGATGGTAACAGGCTTGGTTTCTTACTAAAAATGCTTTTCAGTGTATTCAGCTGAGCTCTTCTGTTTGTCTCCATTAAAGTATATAAGGAAAGCCAAGTTTGGCTTGTTGACTTTCTTGAAATAATAAGCTGTTAAATCTCTCATTTGAGTACTGTCATTCAAGTACTTATGTCTTTGAATTTTGCCAGTCCTCAAACTGGGCAGCTCTTTCTTTAGTAATCATTGAAGTGAAAGATACTTCTCTAAGGTTCAGAGTACCCAAACTAGTAACTTTTCTTGTCTTAATAGCTACAAAATGGAAGCGCAGTTCAAATTCCTTATGACAATGGTTAGCACTATGTGGATTTTAAGATACTAAGCTTTCACTGTAACTGCTAAGTAAGAAGCTACAAAGTATGTATCTTAGCTTTGCTAAGTAAGAAGCTACAAGGTATGTATCTTAGCTTTACTAGGAGTTCTGTCAGGCAATATTTACAGTCACTGCACATCAGGTAATTTGACATGGTGACAAGACCAGTATCAACAAAATGTTACTTGCCTGCCCATCCATAGATCTCCCAGCCACAGAGGGTAAACAGAGGTTTTTGTTTGTGTTTGTTTTTTCCCTCACCTGCATGTAAAATCATGGTTAATATTGTTAAATTAAAAAATGCTATTTTAATGAAATGCTAACACAGTGCATTTTCACAGAAGGGAGAACTCAGAAGTGATATTGATGTGCACTAGCATTTTGGAGTACCAGATGATAGCTAGTGAAGGATTGATTGCTCTACCCATTCCCCTTCTGCCCTGCATTAAAAAAAAAAAAAAAAAGAAAAAAAAAATTATGGTTCTGTAGAAATGTACTTTGTCATTGCCTTTACCAGTGCCCATTGTTCAGTCCCATATGACAGCATTATTCCCGCTGACTGAGCTCCTTAGACCTGTTACCCACCTACTGAGAATCTTCTACTTCATAGTGAAACTCCTACTAGGTATGTATTCCATTCAGTTGTTTTATAGGTGTGTACAAGAGCCCTGACATGCTTTTGGGGCATCCAGAGGTAATGGGCTGGACAGGTATGGGGAGAAATCTGTTCATTATATGACTAAAACCTCTGCTAAGCAGTTGCTGGTTTATGGCTGCTTGGCAGAACACCAAGAAAGAAGCATGTAGCAAACTACCTCATTCTCAGCTCTCTTAATAGTCTTCTGTGTGGGTTTTCAACAGTTTCTAGGGCAACTAGAAACAGAAATGTCTTTTCTGTAAACCAGAACTTCCCAGAACTCTCAGTTTCTGAGAGGGACACATAGTAATCACAGATTTCTCTTCATCATTGAGTTTTCGCCAGATTTTTAACAGATTTGCAACTAAATTTGTCTCATCAGTGGTTTTGAAATTTTCTTCCCTAGAACCATAAAATGGTGGTGGCAAACAAAATATTTTGACTTCTTGAGGAGGCTTGGAAAGATACCATAAGCCTTCTCTTCTGAAATGCTAATTATGAACAGCCAGTCTGCCAGAGCTCAGTTTCCATGAAGTATGTAAGAGGCATCCACATTGAAATAGTTATGGCAATAGAGAAACCTAGTTCACAGCTGTCATTTGAGCAAGGTCTGCCATGAGACATGAATCTCCCGTCTTCAGTGAGACTGTCTTTCAGCCAGAGCATGACATCAGGTGAGACAACAGTATAGAACAGAGTAAAATTTGTTTCCTTCTCCTATAAACATAAGACCACATTTTTATAGAGCATTTGGGAAAGAAATGTCTTTATTCTGTATTAATCTGTCCAAAGAAAAGCCAGCTGCAGAAGACAGACACACTTGAGTTAAACCCACTGAGGCAATGCTGTTGCCAGAATTGTAAGAAAGTAAGGTCATTTGTCCCCTAAAGCTTGGCTACAGCAAATTTTTCCTTAAGAATGTCTTGTTATGAAGGTCTGGGTTTACATGAAAACCAGTGTAAATGCATGCAAAAAAATAAGCAAGCAAAACAGTTCTACATAATCTATATAGTCTGTGAAGTCTGCAAGGTCATGTTTTCAAGACTGATGTTCTGCTGTACTGATTTATTATACCAGAGGCATGAAATATTTAAGGTTGTTTCATACTATTGACAACTTTTTTGTCCTTGAAGAAACTGGAACCTCAGGCTTAAATGCAAACCATTTCAAATATTTCATTTGTATGTTCTTTACTATTTTTGACTTTCTGTGTGTGACCTTGGCCAAGCCAGCTTCTCTGTGTCTCAACTTCAGAGGGAAAACTATTGAAGTTATTCTTATAGCGTTATCTTTCTGTGAATAGAGAATTTAAAGTGGAATAAAAAAATAAAACTTCTAGAGCATTATGAAAGAGAATAATGCAGAGATTATACATATATATCTACATATACCATAACATAGTATATAACAGATACATATGCATGCACATGTACATACACATATTTGCTTTAATTCGTAGTCTTATATTCTTCAAAGTTTATTTTTAATGGCTAGATGATTCATCTTTTAAAGTAAAAGAGTATCTCTAGTATGACATTCTCAACTCTCTTTCACTACCATTGGTAAAAACCCTCCAGAACATGCTTATAAATGGGCAAGTGGAAATGACAGTAATAATGCTGTGCTATTAGAGTTATTAATGCTGTGCTATTAGAGTTATTATAATGGGTTATTTTCGAAATTGAACAGATAAGGTGACAGCCAGACACACCTGTGTCAATTTGCAAATACAGTAAACGGAAAGATGGCCAATCTGGGAAGCTGTTAAGTTTAACACAGTACGCGTCTTTGGGGTGAAATGAGTGTCTCTCAGCTGTACCAATGGTTTTGAAAAGCATGACTCAGTTGCCTAAACAAACACATCTAGTGTGATCTTAGGTGTTGTGCAGTATCCTACATGGCTGTGAGTTGGCATCTGGAGTGATGCAGGTCCACATAAGCCCATGTAAGAATGTTTCAGATTTGTAGAATCTGAGTGGGTGCTTATCAAAAGAATTCCGCCAAAGACCTCTGATAACTACAATGGTAGCTTAGATTCTATCTCTTTTGTAAACTCCTGCATTCAGATAGCTTCATGTAGGGTAATAGGAAACATTGTCTTTATGATAGGATCCAAACCTGATGCCTAATTTTGCCGTAAGCAGAACCTTTGGAGCAGTACAGTAGAAGCTGTATGCAGCTGTAAAGGAGCTGTAAAGGAGCAGTAATTTTTGTAGGCACAGGAGTTGTAAAATAAGTCTTATAAGTTCTGTAAAGCTACTGTAGGATATTGGTGTATGGTTTCTGAAATGCTATAACTATGTTATAACTGTTATAAGAAATATTATAAACAGCAAGTTCTGGTCTTCTTGGTTACTTTCAGTAGGTAGAGCTGCCAGGTTAATGAGAATTTGAGTGCAATTCCTCATTAGAGACCTAATTAACTGTGCAGGAGGAATGGTTTTGAAAGAAAATAAACTTTGCATTTCTTGAATTATGCTCTGAATATTTAGAAGAGGAGGAAAAGTTATCAGTGGATAGAAAGCTGGAGATGAAGTGTGCCTAGAAATGAGGCTAGGTATAGGTCATTTCTGAGACTGGATTATGTAATTGAAAAGGTGAGGGTTGGAAGAAGAGCTTTTTTCATATCAGTTTGACTTTGGGACTACTTCATGTGAATATGTCATGATTCTTTACTATATAATTAGGAAAAGTTCCTCCCTCAGAACTCAAATCCCACACTACATGGAACGTCAGTATTTTTGTTGTTAACTGCTTGGCCATTATCTCCATATAAGCAGAGCTAGAGAAACTTAACATGTGCTTATGAAGTGGTTAAACATTTTCAGTAGCTCAGTGGTGGACTAAACTCTTCTTTTACATTTAGCTGTCTTTACATATTTTGCAGTGTTTTGTAGATGCATGTTATAGAGTGCATACATGACCTACTAATCTTAAATTTCCTCCAGTGTGAAATGGCTGGGTTAAATGCCTTCCATAGGCCATAACTATGCTAAACATCTGCAAAGACCTTCTTAATTTTGAAAGAACCAAAAACAGAAAATTCTGGCTTTCTTACAGATGTCTAAATAACTCCAGGTCAGTCTGGTACTCCTCTGGAAGACTGTCAGTATTTTAGCCAGTGGCTGGTTTTTACATTTTTTTACAAAGGCAAAATCCTGTCTTATCTCTAAGCACTCTGTTTTAAATATTGCAATGTACCATGGTGTTACTGTTCAAGTCTACAAATAAACTATGCCAGTGATAAATGACACCATTTCCAAAGGAGTTTAGATGAAAATATTTTTAGGCTTTATGGTTCATTTTTCATCAGATATCCTGATATGTAAGAATGCCAATTGTTTTGATAACCATTGTGTTACGCTACAAAAGAGACTTTCTACCAATGGCACTTGGCAATTTCTCCTTTCATTTCATTCCTGACATTTCTGGAGCTGGAATATGTAGCTGGCAACATAGCGTACCTTCAGGGTACCTTCAGTTTCCTGGGTTCTCTCTGTAGCATCAGCTTCTGGTTCATGTGTAGCCTGAACTCCATGCTGGATTCCTCTTTGCTGCTAGCCCGTTTTGCAGCAGGTGTCAGAATATGTGCGCTGCACAGATGCTAGACACTGCAGAGAGCACTCGCTAACTCTGCTGCACATGCTGGTATGCACAGTGAGGTTTTTTATCCTAAATTTAAAAATTTGGTCTTTGAAGCTGTGAAGGGCACTAGACAGGCCTTTGGACTACGGGGCAAAAGAGAGCAATGAAAGTGGTACAAGCTGAATGTTGATGGTATTATTCTGATTCTTAATTACAGGTATACAGTTGTGCTTAAAGTAGCAAAAAGCTTCTAATTAAGGTACAAAAGTACTTTGCTACTTAGTTAACTTACCCAGAAGAATACAGGGCAGGAAACAAACATATTAAGCTTTTGCACACCTACTAACATTTTTGGCTAAGCAGCCTTGTGCACCAACCTCCAGAAACTTTAACTAATATTTGCCTCCTGACTAGCAACTTCCCTTCTGATGACCATGAAAACAATCACTGTGAAAAAAATCAAGCAAAAATTCAAAACTGTAAAAAGGAAGGAAGGAAAACATTGACAAAAGAAAGGAGGCAGCATTTGGACCCAAGTGTTCGGAGATGTTCAAGATAAGACACATTTCTACCATGCTTTTGAAAGAGTATGCAGATTGTTTCTATCATGACATGGGCTGCAGTGGAACAGAAGTGTTTTGTTTGTCAGGTTTCTTTAACATAAAACGTTGGTTCAATACCTATATTTCGATCGATCATAGAAGAAAAGCATCAGAATGCAAAGACGTCATAGTACATATTTCCATACAATTATGTACACTCTAATACAGTTATAAGGGTTCACTTGATTTGACATCGGAAGTCCATCTTGGAATTGGTTTAGACCTTTATACTGTTGCAATGGGAGGGAGAATATTTCTGTTGAAAATATTGTATTTCATGCTGTTATAAATACATACCTGCCATTTGTAATGGTAGTCTGATTGGAGTAAGAAGGATATAATCAGTTCTTTTTTCTACACATTTTTACAAAACAACATTTGCACTTCTAAAAATGTATTTTATAATACCACTGGCTATTCTTTTTTACTACATTGAAGTCTTATCCTAGGCTGAAACTAACTAAAATTTAAATTACATTGGATCAGATGAATCACAAGATTATAGCTGGTATTGTTTCATTAATTTTCTTGGGAAATAAATTTTAATGATTTTTTTCAGTGTTATAATTACTACTGATTGTGTTAATTATGCATACTTCAAACATTTAAAATAATTATTTAATTATTTTGTTTAAAAAAAAAAAAGGTTGGTTTTATTGCTTTTCCATTAAGGAGACACATGCCAGCAAAACATAAAAGTCACTGCACTCCTAATATTCACTGGAGGTCTACTTTTTAAAATCAATTACACTTAGCAAAGCTTGAATGAGGTCTCCTGTATTTTTTCTTACTTATATACTACTTGAAACATTTTCTTTTGAGTTTTCTTGTTCTTAGTCAAATTATAATGTGTGAAGAACTGGTGTAGGATGAGGACCATGATATCATTGTGCAGCACAACTTTCAAAACTCTGTTTTGGGCATTTTGTCAAAGGAGCAAAATTTGTCTGGAGAGGATGTGACAGATGATGATGATGACAATGAGGAAGAGGATAAGGAGGATGATGATGAAAATGAGGAGGAGGAAGAAGAGGAAGAAGAAATAGAAGAAGAAACAGAGGAAGGAGAAGAAGAAGCAGAAGTACAAGGAGGACGGACAGGAATGGAGAAAGAAAAAGAAGCAGAGGGAAAATGCGAAAAAGAGAAACATAGTAAAACACCTGAGGGAGAGAACAGCAAGAATAGCACAGTGGAAACCGAAAAGGTAAAAGCATTTACTCCTATTAAGTTACTCGTGTCTGAAAGAATTTCTTTCTATAACTAACATTAGTTTGAATGTATGTGTAGCTATCTTGTAAATGCAAGGTGTTTTTTTGGGGTGATTCTGGTAGAGGGAGGAATACGTAGGAGTTAATAATGAAAACATTTCATTTTTAGCAAGTTTGAAAGTACAGATTTCATTGTTTTGTCTCTCTATAGACAGAAGAGACTACTCAGAAAGAGACCATCGTTCAGCAGGGTAAGAATGCAGTTTTTAAGAATAGAATCACTGTGGACATTCTAAAAAGATAAAACTTTTCTAAACACCTCTGTTATAAAAATACTGAAACCCCATTACTAATTGTTAATGATTTGAAAGAAAAATATACCTTTCCTAGTTATGTATTTGAGGAAGTCCACAAGAAGGACTTTCTCTTAGCAGGACTATATTTTACTGAGAGCAGCTGGAGTTGCGTGGTTGCAAAGTTATGGTAATTGTATTATCTCTCAAGCAACTTCTTTATGTGCCATGTTTCTTCATTTCAGCAGAGAAGCTTGTGAAAAGCCTTTCTCTTCTCTACTGCCATTTCCTCATTAAATTCACAAACAGATTGTTAGATGAAATGTAATTAATGAACACTGTTCAGAGATGGTGAAGATTTAAGTCTACATGTTGCTTGTAGTTTTGATGATAGTTTGAGTGAACTATATATACCTTCAGAAAAGCTGGGGAGCATGAAGCTGAGTGTCCTATATGCAAAAAAAAACAACTTCTTTTATTTTAAAAATGCTGGAAAATCTATAACTGTTCTTTTGATAGAAAATAACAAATGTGGTATAAAAAAGACCAATGTCCTAGTAATGAAGAAGCCATGCCACTTATTTTTAATAATATAGTGGAAATAGCTTGCCCAGAACGGATGCTTAAATATTTTTCCATAACTGAGTGATCTGGAAGTTTTGATATGAAGTTCTAAATTTATTCATACAGGGACTATAGGAAAATTTAAACATAGGATCATAACTCAGATGGAAAGTTTTTCCTTTCCCAGAATTGTTTCTATGGAATAAAATTCATGCTGAACTATAACTCCTGCCCTAAAAGTCAGATTTTCCAAATTGGAATATACTTTCAAAATCAGTGTGCAAGATACTGTTTTTTGTCAGCAAGGGGAAACTACAAGTTTCAAGTCAAAACATTTTACATAATGTCACTGCTGTAAGTGTTCTGTTCTTGAAAATAAAGTACTTGTCAGGATGGGCATCAAATTGAACTGAATATTCTGATTGCTGCTTTTTTTTTTTTTTTTTTAGATCCATGTTTTATTTAGTGACTTTTACTTCAAAAATTATTTGAAGAACAGTTTTTTCTGCTCATCATTTGCAAGAATCAGAAGTTAATATAAGCATTTATATTGTTGTAGAGAAAGAAAGCACTGATAATCACGCTGTGAATAATTCTTCAGAGAATGCTGATGACCAAGTAACTGGAAGATTTGTTGGGAGAACAAAGGTATGTGGCCTGATTTTTCCTTCTAGCTACTAGTGACCAAGAAGGCAGTGGGCAGTTACCAAGCTGAAGCAATACCTCAGTTTACCTGATCTGTATGAACAATTAAGTTGCTGAGCAGCCCATTCCTTCTGTTTATGATTTGATTTTGTGATAAAATAACTTAAAAATGTCCAAATAACTGCTCTATTAAAATAAATCATAGTGCTTCTGTCAGTATCAATGAGGTAAAGCCCATTATCACCTGTTAATGTGTAGCATGCACATAAAAGACAGGTTGTTAATCACATCAGATATTCATGAGGCAAAAACTTAGGACTTGATTCCTGTGAGATGTTATCTAAAAATATTTGCCACCATATTTCTCTCTGGAGGCAGCCGCTCAGCTAGTTTACCTTGTATGTATTTCCAACATGCACAGATTTAAAGAATGTGATTATATATATATATATATATATATGTATGTATGTATATTCATGTTGAGGAGTACCTTACATGGAATTTCCTACAGGTTTAGGATCCAAAGGCTGCTGCAGAGACTGGCTGCTGTGTTTCCTGTTAAGCAAAGGCCTTAAGCACCAGTTAACTTCGAGCACCTGTGTAGTCTCACTGACATAAAAACATTGTCATTAACTTTAATGGGACTACACACATGTTTATAATGAAGCATATTAAGCATTTACTGCTCTGGGGCTTTGCAGATCTGAGCCTATAGTTTTTGACCTTGCCTCAGACTCTTGTTTGAAAGAAACACAAATAATTGCACCACTTGCAGTATTTTGTACAAAATGTACAGTGTGTAATTTGACAAAATTCAGTCATTTTGACTCCTCTGGTTCCTATGTGCGATTTTCACACATTTCAAATATTGCAGCAGAATGTTTTTAGTTAACAATTTTTAAGTATTCATTTTGTTGGGGGAAAAAAAAAAAATTACCAAGGATGAATTTGTGACCTCAGCTGACCTTGGTATATACAAAATGCTTTGTGGGTTGTTTTTTTTTTAACTTTGAATTTCATAGTTGTTTTGGACATGTTATTTACCTGCTTTTTGCTTCAGTTTTCCCTGTTTAAGCGAAAGGCACTGAAAGGCCAGAAGAATGTAAGTAGCAAAAAGGAAGATGAATCTGGAAAGCCATTACAGAGTGACGAAGAAGAAAAGGACAACATAGGTGGTGAAGACAGTAAAGATGAAAACCAGAATCATACATTGCAGAATTCCAGGGAAACTGTGACTAACCAGGATGGAAGGATGAAATCTTCTACCTGTATATTACTCTAACACTGTTATAGTATGTAAAAATTTGGCAGTCTTAAAGCACATAGTGCAGTTTTTACTTGAAAACAGTTATGACTCACAAGAGATGTTGATGGTTGCTTTTTTGATTGATTTGATTGCTGTGATTTTAAACATGCAGGCAATTTTCTTTATATTTATTGATAATTTCGGTCGTTGCAATTAATACGCTTATCAGCACCTTGCTGGAGTTCTGTGTCTTAACTGTTAGTGTTGCAAAGTAAAATATATTTTTTTGTATGAAAAGTTGAATACAGGCATTTCATGGTTTTTGCTAAATAATTTTATTCATCTTCAGTCTACAGAGTACCACTTTCAATATGATACTCTTGTAAAATTGTAATGTCTTATGGAAGATATTGGTTTAACAACCTAAGTGGGAACATTGAAGTTCACATTTTAAAGAGGGTATTCAGTTACTTAGACATACATATGCATCTTTCTGTTTTGACTTAGAAAAAATAACAATAAAACGTTCAGGTTAACTGATAGGCCATTATTGAGGAATTTATTTACATATGTGCCTAATTTCATATATGGGAGCAGTTCCATTGGAGGCGGTACCCAAGAGTAGTGTGAGGATGTAAGTATCCTGCCAAACTGGGACTTGAAGAAACCTTCATTTCTGAGAGGTGCTCAACACCTTTCCTCCTGCTGGAATTAGCATAAGCTGATGGGATTCTCTTCACAGAATCAGGCCACATAAAATCTGGACATCTTCACTGTTGTTTCAGTTGGATCCAACCTTCATATCTTAATGAGTCTCTAGTGAAACTTTTCTTGCAGGAAAATAATGTAACCAGAGTTACTATGGAATACATTGGTACGACAAACAGATCATTATAAGCTAAATATCCATGTTTTTCTCAGGCAACCTGGCTTTTTTTCAGATGGAGCCTGAGCAGCAGGAGTAATGAATCCCATTGTTGGTGGGGATGAGTAGAATGTTTGAAGGTTTTAATTAGCCAAGAAGCAGAAGTGACAAACCACCTATTCTAATTACTAGCATTCCCCCTAAATGAAATGTGATTTCTGAAAACTCATTCCATCTGAGTAAGAAATGTAACTTTTACCATGATGAATCTGATCCAGGGCCTGTATTTGCCCCTTACTAAGATATGTTTACTTTTTTAAGAATATACACAAGCTCTAGCATAAATATAAAATAAACAATTATTTCTAAACAGAGTACTTTTCAGAATACCTTAAAAGGGACAGATGATCTTTGCAGAATACCTAGGAAAATGGTATTTAAATTCACTGATACATGAACATATTTTAACATGCCTTTGGCCATATTTCACCTTTGGATTATCAGTTTTTCCTAGTTTCAAAGCTGCTTATATTGTATGTGATATAGTCAGAACTGTCTGGAATTGGTTTTGACCTAGAAGTTGTTTCAGCTGAAAGCTTTATCCCTACAAGTATGGCAGGTGCCTAGATTCTTTCACAAGCATCCTCTGTGCTACAGTAAGCATTGTACTAAAAACCTGGGTGCTTGGGTCATCCTTAGCCAGAGTTAGTTAAAATCCTTTGGTTTCTGTTATTCAGGCTACTCTTGAGTTCCGCAGTGAACTTACATGAGCTGTTTTTTTTCTGCCAGTGTGCATTATATTTACATATTTTTTGTGTTTTCCTGAATGCACATGTGGTTTCTGTTCTGCTTGGATACTGTTGGGAATAGTAAAGAAGTGGAAAAAGAGAGATAAAGTAAATAATGTCCTTATTCATTTAGCCAAGCTTTAATTATTTTTTAAGGGGAGATCAGTCGCAGAAATCGTTACCATAAGCACAATTGCTTTTTTCTTTTCTTTTTAAATGTGAACTTAATTAGTGAAAAATATGACTTTAAAGTGGGAATTACCCTAAATTCTAATGCTGCAGAGGTTAATGTAATGGATTCTAAACAGCTATACTTCAAAGCAGTTTCAGGGACTTGTACATTTATCTTGTCTATACACTTAGCTTAAGAAAGAGCAGGAAAAAATTCATCTTTTTTTATATTTCTTCCTTGATAATAAAAAAAATATTAAACAAGTGAAACAAGTTATATGTACATGTGCATTAATTTAAAGGTTTCTTTTTTTTAACAAGTTCACAATCCTTATGATAGAAATGTAAGCAGGTTTTATTATTGTAAGGCTTTCTTGAACTAGTGAGTATCAAAATATTGTAGAAAGATTTACAGTGAATTTTTCTCTTTTTTTTTTTGTTTGTTTGTTTGTTTTGTTTTTTTTACTTTCCCGAAGATAACTGTATCAGCTAACCTTTATGTCTGGATTTCACTGCCCTGTCATACAACTGAGATCCTGCTTTAGAGTTGCTGGTTTTCTGAAATTTCACCATCAAACCTACCACAAGGTGGAGTTTGTGTTCTTCGAAAATTCTGGAGCCAGAACATTTCCTCCTCTGGCCCCTGAAAAGCAGTAACAGATCATCACTCTGTATCCAATTTTCTGATTCAAAAATTCTCTGAACACTGTATGTTTTCTGGCATATTGCTTTGGGAGCTACATCACTTTGGTACCTTGACATGTTTATGTAGTGTATTTTTAAAGTTTTAGACTATATGTATTTGTAAAAAAACAAAGAAAAATACAATTCCTCATTTATCTCACAGTGTGTACATAGATGATCACTTTTGATACATAAATGTCAATCAAGATATACATGGTTGATTTAAAAAGAAGTTCTATTAGTGCATCTTGCATACATATATGTATACATACGCACTGACACGTATATATTTATATAGGAAGATACATATATATAGACGTGTGTATGGGTATATGATCACGTGTACCTGACCTCCTAAAATTTCCGTTTCATCCATATATTTATATATTCATGTTTATTGATTCCTGGAAGCACAGGATTCATTTATGCAACTGCTGTTCCTATGCAAGTTTGAGGTGACTGAAGGAGAGAACATGCTGTTTGGACAGTATTTTGTATATCCAAAGACAATGATGATAATATATCAAATGAACTTTTCAACTTTTTCCTTTTTCTTCCAGGAAATAGTTATATAATATGCAAACTACATCCAGTCTTTGTCCCTGGGGAATATTTTAAGTCATGCTGTTGACATAAGGGTAGTTGAAGTAAACTGAATTAATTCTATAATGATAAACCACTGTAAATCCTGATAATCTTATATGCACAAGCTAATCTTTCATGACTATTGATAAACTAAGTAAGGATTCACTTAAAATGTATTCATGAATAAGGCATGAACTTATCCAGCTTCTGACAACTGACTTCTGACATAAAGCGTTTTTGACATTTACTGAGTATATCAGAAATGCTTTCTGGCACATGAAGACCATTTTATACTCGACTGTTGAAATTGCTGGCCAGGCTCCTTGGCAACCCAGAAAGAAGTGGTTCTTGAAGCAGCATAGTTAGACTACCACTACCAATACTACTGTCATTACTGCCTGTACCTAATACCCCCAGGGTGATGAAGAAACACTTTACTCAGATTTATGACATGTACCCAGCATCATGGATGCTTAACAAAATAGAAAAATAAATGTTAAAAAAATGCCCCAAATATTGAAATTAGAAGTAGATAGGAAATCTGTTTGAGTTAGGTATTAAAATCCAATATTGAGCACATTTTTAAATGCCCAAATATTGTATACAGGAAAATTATAACCATTACTGCATCCTTGGACTATTTTCTCTCTTTAAAATATAAATAAACTATTTCTAAAATCCCTTGGACTGTTTTTAAGAGCTATATTATTTATACTATTCACTACTCAGGGGGGTGTCCTGGGTTCAGCAGTAGCAGTCATTTTTCTCCTCCTTGGTAGCTGGTGCAGTGCAGTGTTTTGACTTTCAGCTTGGGAACAGAGCTGATAACAAGTGATGTTTTGGTTTGGCCAAGGACTTTGTGAGCCTCATGCTCTGCCAGGGAGGAGGCGAAGCGGAGAGGAAGCAGAGACAGGACACCTGACCCAAACTGACCAAAGAGGTATTCCATACCACAGCACGTCATGCCCAGGATGTAACTGGGAGTTAGCTGGAAGGGCTGGGAGACTGCAGGGTTGGAGGAGGTATCGGTTGGTGCTTGGCTGGGCTGGGGGGGGGCAAGTTATTGGTCGGCTGGTGGTGAGGTGATGTATTCTCTTCCCTTGTTATTTCCTTTATCATTGTTATTGTTGGTGGTAGCAGTAGTGATTTGTGTTATAACTTAGTTACTAAACTGTTCTTATCTCAACCTGTGCGAGTTGCATTCTTTTTGATTCTCCTCTCCGTCCCTCTGGGAGTAGGGGGAGGGAAAGAAGGGGGGGAGAGTGAGTGAACGAGTTACCTGACTGGGTTTAAACCACGACAGGGGGTTACAACATTTTCACACCTTGCTATGTCTAAATTCTTGTAAGAGTATAAGTAGTGTCCATTTTAAGTGTGATGAAACTGCTGTCGGTGAGAATTGGAGACATTCATGCTTTGGTAGTAGGTCTGCCTTGCTCAGTATCTCATAATGATGAGGTCTCAAACATAACACCTCTTTGCCTTCCAAGGCTTGTGTTTGAACTTAGTTTTTAACCATGATATATAATAACCAGTCTCTTTTTCAGGACCAGATAGTAATGGCTCAACAAAAGCATTGCAAAATCTAAATCTGGCTAAACTGTTCTATTTGTACATGAAGAAATCTTTAATTTTTAAGACTATTCTCATTTGAAGTGGAGACAGTTTAGACACAGCTGTTTCCAATCACTCGTCAAAAGCTGATGAGATAGTAACAATTTTAAGAGATGGTAACAGCTTCAAAATAAAAATACAGAGGTATGTTCTTCACTTATTGTTCTTCATCTACAAAACATTGAACTGTGTATCTGTGGATATAGCACATACGTGTGCATCAGTCTATATCTAATTATGAATGCAATATTTTCTTTCCCCCCCCAAAAAAATTCTGGTTGGCTGGCTGCCTATAAGACACTCTGTGAGCATGGCATGTGCTACCCCATGGCCAAATAGAAGGCAGAAAAGACAGCTAGTGCTCTTGAAGACTTGCTACATATGTGTACTATGTATATGCCCTGTATATGTGCCTGACCCACACTTCCATGGTGAAATTTTCCAAAGCAAGGGTTTTGGTTGTGGAAAAATTGAGTGAAAGTTGGTTGATCATTATCTCTGCTATTTAAGCTCATAGAACGAGAATTTCAATTGGTCTGCATCCTTCTGGCGTCTTTACCCAGTGATACCTTCTTGTAGGTGAGCCTCTGTTTCTTTCTTGGCTGTCCACTTAGGAAAACCATCTTTTTCTATTAGAAAAAATGAACATATCACTTAAAAATGCAAAATGAGCAAAGTCTTTTTGACAGGCATGCTACCTGCGGTGGGGTTGCCTTTTGAAAGTCGTTCTGAGTGAAGCATCTACTCTCTGTGCGCTGAAGCACATGTGGTGGCAGTGGGGTTTCCTAGGCATGTGCTGACAGTGTCGGCATGGTAAGGCTGAGGAATTTGGTCTGTCATTCCCCACACAGTGCTCTATGTGACACACATCCACCTTCCTCTTTCTGACCCTGTTTTCCTCTGACTCTTTTTTTGCCTGCTTTCTTCTCAGCACCTCCGGTTCCTCACCACAGCAGTGCTACACCAGAGCTTCTCCTCTTGCCCTCCAGAGGTCAATCCCAATCTTTGCTTCCATTTCACTCTTCCTCTCCTGGACTCTTTGTCAGAACTGCAGAAACACCCCGACACTGGCATGCACCC